ACAAAGCAAGCCATGTCACTAAGTTGCTTTATAGCTTTCATATTGCCATAAATACCAATTTGATAAGTCCAGTTCACCCCACCCCACCCCTTTTTACCCAGTGTGTGAAATCTCAGAATACTTCTTTGTCACCATTTCCAACAATTCTGCTAGTTAAAAAAGGGTGTCGGATCAAAATGAAATGTTTTTGCATATATGTTTGGTTTTCCTTCTGTAGCAGGACATTGCAGTATAGCAAAAATGTAGCTTTATCTGAGAAAAATTACAGATTTTAATGTACCAAAAAAAAAAAAAAAAAAGAGTAACATTTAGAATAACTTTTTTTTTTAAAGAAAAAGTGTTTTGTAAAAGATCAAATGAGGTCATTTGGTATTATTCTTTTAAAAGAACATGCTTAAGTGCCAACTTTAATCTTAAAAAAGCATGCAAAACACCAAGGGTCCAAGCCCATTCATTAACTTTCTCACAAAAACATGAAGAACTCTATCATACATCCTGCTGGCTGCAYCTCCAGTGCAGTTGTTCCTACTGTGGCCCTGGCTCAGCAAAGTTCACCCCACACCAACACTCTACAGGTCCTCATGACCACTGTGCAAGCACTCAAATGCCTCGTGTTAAGCAGATAGGTGGGTGTTTTGCTGGGGGAGCATCTCACTTTTGCAGAATGTTTTTCTAGGAGATGATTTTGAAATGCCACACCTTCAATGTGACTGGAAAACAAAATCCAGAAAGCCAGCCTGGAGGTGAGATGGCCCTGGGAGGTGGTTGTGTGGTGTTTATCCAGAGCAGAAGCTGCCTGCTGTACTCCTTGCACAGGGCAGTGTGTTACTGGGGCTAAAGCTGCCGTTTCCATCCCGGAGCAATCCCGTCTTTTCCCTCCCCCTGCCTCAGTGCACCTGGGTGCACTGGTTTAGGAGCACATCGAGATCCTGTGAATGCTCAGCAGGTGGCTTCACAAGTGATGCCCAAACGTACAGGCAGATCAGAATCTGGCCAATCTTCAAACTTGTCTGCACATAAACCTGAACCCTGGAAAGCAGTATGGTTTCCATTGGGACCTTTATCTTCCATTGTTATAAAATAAGAAATTATCTATTCTAATTGGTATGTGACTGTTTGGGGAGTCTTCTTCTCTTGAATATAAGTATTTAATAATTTTCCAAAGGAAAATATAATTTATCTGTTAATTAAATAAACTGTTCACAGAGAAAATAGTATTACTATGTTAGTGCTCCTGAATGGAGTTATTTTTTTTTTCAGTCACTTTCTAAGGGGCCAAAAACACAAAGCTTAAGAAGCAGCTCCATGAGTCTTCTTTGCGTATTGTGTGAACCATTTCCCTGCTATTATAGCCTAATTTGACAATAACATGATTAAATGGATGTACAATGTAAAGGTTTCATATTATTGAGTCTTGCCTGCATTGCAAGGGCCATGTCAGTTGTTTTAACCTTTTAGGGTTATGCTTTTGACTTCCAAATGCCATTCCTGTTAGGAAGTAAAATATTGGTTTTGCTTGGATTCAGAAGACTGTGTTTCCTATCAAATGCAGCCAAAATTTGGCATGTTTCACGTATCAACTTTCTAAAAAAGAAGAAAATATTCCCTGTTTGTGGAATATGCTATTAAAAATCAGAGAGAGCACAAGTGAGGCATCTTGCTGTCCCAGCTACAGGTCCACAATACTGCGCTCACACTGCGGGTGTAAATTCAGCATCTACATGAGGTACAGTGACTTGTCAGCATTTAATATGGACCAACATACACTGATATAGAACAAAAGTAAATACATAACTTATACTTCACTAAGTATCCATGAACAAAAAATAAAATTCTATTTCCTATGTTATATTTACACAATTTAAAAAAAAAAATCTAAAATGAGATGGTAAATTCATCAAAAACTTTGTTTTGAGCTCCAATTAAGAAAGTAAAAATGTTGGGTTTCATCMTTATGATTGTCCTTCCTTGATTTCTACTGACATTTTAGAGCCAATGTYGGCTAATAAATAGAATAACACGCTCATAGGCACAACTCAGATTCAAATATGTTCCTCCCACTCCCCCAGCCAGTAAATGCAATTTTTACCAGCTGGCAATTCCTGAACAGCCAGTCATTTTCAAGAACGTGGCTTTARCATACAGAGCATCAGCACTGAGGCAGGGCTGGAGCTAAAACAAAGTGTTCATACATACATGTATTTTGCATAAATAAATGAAATAACAAGACATAAAAATGACTCAAATCCGGCAACTGTGAGGCAGGCCCACACGAGTCGAAACAGATGACTTTTGTTCATGTAGTTTTCGTACAACAGTTTCACATTAGTCAGAAGTGATAAAAAATACCATTTATATCCAGTGCTTATAACACTTACGAAACAACATCTGTGAGTGTGTGGGTTTTTTTTGTACTACAAGCAAAATCAAGTTTCAGTCCTAAAGAACAGTCCTTTGTTCTCCACAAGCCTGCAGAATATTATTTTGGCATGGTCATAAAATTAAAAAAAAAAAAAAATTAACCAACTAATCTAAATGTTTGCCTTTGTGCAAAAAAATAATTACATAAAATACAATGCTAGCAATACAGCATTCTACCTATGCAACAAAACCAGGAAAAAAAAGAGCAAGAGAGAAAAAAAGTGACATGGGGAGAGGGAAAGATACTTCTAACTGGGGAATTATGTAAGACATTAATAAATAGTCCTTTTTTTTTTCTTTTTTTTTTAGGAACTAATGACATCCTCCCCCCAATCAGAGCTGAATGTATTAAAACCAGTTCAAATTCCCAAGCTATTTTAAGAACAAAAAAACACTTTCTATCAGTACCTTAGCCAGCTTAAAGAGGACGCTCACCAGCTAATGACACAGCATATGCCTTTAAAGACTTGGCTAGACCAGTTTATTGCTTTTTAGACATGGACTCAGAAAACATTTAAATAAATATTAAAAATATAGCTTTTTTTTTGTTCCAAATTACAAAATGGTCAGAGAAATYTGACCATTGTGTTTCTATGCCATTATCTTTATAAATTGTCCCGTAAATTGAACAATCTTTGTCTTGGGGGTCRTTCTCTCACACGTGATTCCTACAGTGGCAAAAATGGCTGTTTCTGGCAGGACAGGGATCAGCGGGGCTGTGAGGAGAACTGCTCCTCCAGAGAGCATCGTGTCATCGCAGCTCACCAGTGTGTGACAGGATGGACAGGGACAGCCAGACTAACTCCAGACTATTTTTACTGTCCGGCTCTCTGAGAAGATGGTCCCAGATGTCCAGAGGAGCTGCCCACTGCTAGCTCCCAGCCTGAGCCTGAATTTGTCACCAGTGTGCTGAACACATCCAATTCCTAATAAAAGGTGAGGGAGTTGAGGAGCTTCAGCACATGGATTCATCAGGCCTATTGGAACTGTGCATGGATACAGTGATGCATTTGTGAACAGCTGTGGAGTATGAGGGAAAAAATAAAGGCATTTTCTCCTCCRTTTGAAATCTAATTAATCTGCAATCTTTGAATACATCTCTCATAGATTTCCCAGAATTTTCTCCAGTAATTGCACTGTTTCTAGAAGTAATACAAATAGAAATTTTAGTTTCTATAGCACCTTACATCTAAAGATCCCAAAGCACTTGACCAGTCACATTCCCACATGTCTGATATGCAATAAATATTTTTGACAACCTTTCCCACCTTTCCAATTAGGCATTTGAGTGGCCTTCCCTCCTCCACCTGGAGTCTCACGAATACTTCACTGCATAAATTCTAAAGGCAGCACAGTTCCTTCAGGTGGCAATAGGACCATGAAGCACAGAGCCACRATTTGCCACAGGATTCCTCAGGCCCTAAAAACTCAGCACGGTGGACTGTAAGTACAGTTTGGATTTAACATCTGCCCTTGCTGTCTAAGTATAGAGGTTTATAACTATAAACACATTTTTAGGGATATTTGTACTCTATGTACATATAAAAGTACTCACTTTATTTTGCAATACATATAGCAGAGTGTTTCCAAGTGCTCCTTGAACATACAGTGTTAGAGGAACAAGTGAATTTCTCATTCATAAAAGTCATGTTCATTTTAGTAGCAGGTGCACTTTTATTTTCATATACCTGTGTGATTTAGGGAARGGGAAAGAAGAGGCTCTTTAAAACATCAAAAAGGAATAGTAAGTGTAATGCCACCAACTGTACTTTTAAAAATAAATATTAAGTATTTGGACCCTTGACATTCTGGAATGAATAAATTATTTAAGAGAAAATGTGTTAAGACTGAATGCAAGGGTTAAAAGCAAAGGGGTAGAGAATGTAATCAGAGGTGGCTTCACACTGCTAAGACAGGCCCGTCCATAGCTGGTGATCGCTCTTTTGTGCTTACTTAAAATTTCATACTAATGGCACATCAAGAGGCAAAAGCAATTGGGCACATGCACTATGGCAACCATGTTCACTAATTAAGAATATCCTGTCTCCAGATTCCTGAGTACTTTACCATATTCTGGAAAAAAATTAGGTTTTATATATAATTTTTTTTTAAGATGCCAAAGGATTGTCTAAGACTTGACAGTGTTTCCTTTAAGACTTTTTTTTTAAATGTTAAGATTCAAAAGTTATGAAAAGTTTGGCACATCAGAAGTTCAGCTATACATATGGAAAAAAAAAAAATGGAATTCAGAGACTATTTTTTAAAGACAAGCTATGATGCACAGGTGTGCACAATTGAGGACTTGTTCTGCTTCACAATATGAAATCTGCAGGTTTTGTTTTCTAAAATAATCCAGAATAAAAACACATTCACAACCTGTAGGCTGGCACAGCATACCTGAGTGAGAATGTATAACCCCCATCTAAAACAGTAACTTAAACCTTTATCAGCATCCAAACGGAAAAAGACAAAAGGTAAGACTTGTAAGACAGCTATTGATTCATATAAGTTTTCAAGTCCTGATGTCTGATATTTATGTCTTCATCTAAATTTAAAAAAAAAAAAAAAAAAAAAAAAAAAAAAAAAAAAAAAAAAAAAAAACAAGTTCATGAAAAATTAGGGAAACAATCTGTCTCACACGATAAGAAACATTTAAGATCATTCTGCTGATGTAACTGTAGGAGCCACACATGCATGCAGGCTCTTTAAGAACTTTTGTTCAAAAAAAMCCCAAAAAAACCCAAATGAGTCTGAGTACTTTAATTCTGTGAACRCTCCTCAGTTGGCACTGACTGCCTCATGGGCTTCGTTTTCACTACTATAGTCTGATTTGGGATCATCCTCATAGTCCTCGTACATTTCTATTTCATCCTCTCCATTTATCATTTCGTTTCCAGGAAGGCTTCCGCTGTCCGTCTTCATACCATAAGTGCTCTGGATGACAGGGATGCTGGGCTCAGGGCTGGCAGAGGTGCTGGAGCAATCTGATGTCATCTGAGGGGACGGCGTGGTGGTCGCCATGGTAATAGCACCAGGGTAGACAACTCCTGTTCCCGTGGTGATCGGAATCTGAGGCTGTTGTCTGCAACAAAAAACGAGAGGGAAATGTGATTTCCTGTGTTTAGGGCAGGGAGGAGCTTCCACAAATCCAAAGGAAAGGAAAGCAGATGGATTCCTAGAAAGGCTGCATGTATTCCTGCAGGGTCCACAGGTCGGTCCTCTATGGGATTGGTTCATCCTATCCCAAAGAACATCTGGGATGTGAAGTGTTCTCAGTCACTACCAGACATCGACTCTTTAATGTATTTTATGTGTTTATTTAAACCATAGTACAAACTAGCACCTGGACAAAGACCATCAAAAGACTTCAGGCACCTCTATGATGCCTGCCTGCYACCATAGACACCGTGTATCCAAAATCTAAACTCTGATATCATGACAAGAGCTCCTGTTAATGAGAGGACCTCAAGACTGCCTGGAAGTATCTATAACATAAATATCTAATTTGCTATGTGACAGGTAAACTCCTACRTCACTTAGACATTCCTTTGATATTTTATTGCTGGCTTTTGATTTTTATTTGGATCCATGATCAGAATGCCATTTGCTTTTCAGGATTTCATGTGTAAGACTGGGATTTTTAAGCAAAGTACTTGATAAAAAAGAACAAATGTGCCATGGAAGATGCTGATTCAGTATTGACTAGTTACTGAACATACCTGCCTATTTGCACAATCTATTTAAAGAATTATACATTTAAATGTATTCCCAACCTTCCCTAGAGCAATATTGACCCTGTAGCAGTCATCTATTATAGAATTTTAGCAGGAAAAACAGAGTCAGGTATGTTTGAATAGTCTTGACTTCTTGACTCTTGTGTTATTCTGTATCAAATTCAAAATGGTATCTCAGAAACCAGTCTCAAATTCCCTAATCATTGTCTAAATCAGTATACAAAATAATGTTAAGCTTACTTGCAAAACCCTTAATGCTGGGCCTTTATTGTTCATTGTTCAAACTCTAATTTTGATAAATATCACACTTGAGAGTTATTGGGAAGCTGAAGTCCTTCAAGTTTGGGTAGTGATACAGTGAAATTATGAACACTCTATGTAAAATACCATTAAAATAGTCCTGCCGTGGCTGGTACTGCTAGCCTGACTCTTACAGCCTTTGCACAGCTTGAGAAATCCAAACATCTGTTATGTAAGTCTCATACACCTGGCTAGCAGCGAGCAAAAATGCAGTAATTCATTTGACACAGTCATTATACTCCTGTTTGCAAATGATGATTTGCAGATGATTTACAAACAGCTTGGGATTTTTCACTAAATTTTCACTTTTTAAATGGTCTGATAAATGTTCTGTGAAAACAATTTTCAACCAATGTATTTGCTTGCAAGCGATTTTCTGCAAACATCTTTCAATACTTTATCCATAAAATTGAACACCTACCTCACATGGGAACATTTCTGGTTTAGGATTGCATGTTTCAGGAGTACAAACTATTACCGCTAAAAACCCACACGTATCTCCCCCACAACTTTCAGACATGCAAAATGTTCACATTTATGAGTGTTTCCACAAAGCAGAGGAAAAAGAAACCCACACATGGTCAGCAGAAAAGATCTGTGTAGTTGTCAYCAGGCCATACACACTTAATTCTTTTTAATCTGCCCATCTAACAACTGCTGGTACTGATCTTTCCCTGGTATTTTTTAGAATAAATAAATTCACAAAACAAAACCTCACCAGTTGTTCATCAAAGAGCACCATGATATCAATGCCAAATGATGTTTTGAAAAAGTTTTCACAACTCCTGTAACAGAAGTTGTAGAATATACTCAAAGAATGWTTGAGTGCCCATTGCTGCTGTGTTACAGATGACATTAAGTGTCAGAACACAAGCGTCCACCTCTACACCTTTCCCCCCAAWAAGTTTGTGTTTTTTCCAAAGCAAATTGCCTTTTTACAAGTAGCAAGAACAATTAAAAAGTCTGCTTAAGACAATGAGGTGAGATACCTTGATTAAGTGAGGGTTATCAAGGTTAAGGCCTAAAGGCCAGGCTAAGAAATTCTGGTATTTTTTTTCAAATGCTTATCAAGTCAGCAGAATCCTTTTGCATTTCCACATTTCAGTGGGACTGGATACGCTTGTCCAAGTACCACCCATTTCAAAGTATAAAGGCCAGAAAGAAGCCCAATTTACAGAAGTACCTTTTACTTGAGAACACACCAAATGCACGGCAAGCTAAGGARTTAATCTAATTGTCAAAGAACCCAATTGGTGTAACAGGAAAGTTAAAGGCTTAGTGAATTTGTCATTCATAAATGCAGTCCTTTTCTTACATGTTTAACAAAAATCAGACATGCTGTGCATGCCTGCTGCTGGCTGGGTAATAACTTTAAATTACCTATATCTCACTGTGGAACTGTAAACATGTGGTGACTGTACCACCTAATTGGAAAGGGTCTCAAATTGCTACCCATTTGCTAGCAAAAAATTTGCTACCACTTAAACATGGGTACCCACATGCCCCCAGCAACTGGACACTTACCTCTGATTTAATACCTGTTATTATTTAGAGCTGATCATGTTGTCACTGTAAATTATGCTCTGGTTGCTACATTACATCCCAGAAAGCCTTATTTCAAAATATCCACAAAATATTTCAGAATATCTACAAACTGTGTGGATGGCATATGTTACTGGAGATGAGCGTTATCGGTTCCTAAGTAATTAAGTTATTGGGGAAGGAAATCAGAGCATTTATTTAAATTCCCACTACTCTCCTTGGAAGAAAGAATTGGAGTTTCTAACCTACAACTCTGGCCACTATGTTTTCTTCTATTTGTAGTTCTTAAAGGCATTCACGTTAATGGAGTCTTTTCTAACATTAAATTCCATGCATTTACTCATTGCCTCTAGCCAGAATTTTGCTACTCATAGAACCTAGGAGGGGAGAGATAAAAACATACTTTACCTGCAAGCTACAGGTTACAATTCAGCTGAGTTGAACATGGAAGTTTTCTGCCTGTTAAGATTTCCAGAAAGCAACATTAATCTTCTGATCCATGAGGAATGGTGACTTATGGCCACGTGCCCTGGCTTCAAACCTCTCCACCATCTCCTCTCAGACAAGGAAATCTCTATGTGGACAATTAGTAGTGGTCACTCTGCTCTGTTCTGCCTGCACTGGTAACATGTCTGTCCCCTCTGGGACCAAAGATTTGGCACAAAATATTTAAATAAATATAAAAATGGAGGTAAAGTGAAAATACTTAAACAAATTGACCTGCTCACAAGTTTGTRGCATTAATATTCTTGGGATTTTTCTGGAGAATGTTCCACTTTTGACTTTTGCCAAACCAGCAAAACATTTAAATTGGCAAATTACCATTGTTTTCTGATCCCTTCCCAACCATTTTCTGACAGCTCTTTAAATGGCTGAAGCAAAAATTGATTGCATTAAGGAAAACGCTCATATGCTCCACTCCCCTGAAACCTCCATTCCCATAAGGAATGAAATAACAGTAAATCTCACAAAAGCACCCATTGTGTATTTGCTTTAAGTTCAAGCTACAGGAGTATAATATTACAGACTTATTCAAAACCAGAGTCTAGCAGCATTCAGACTATGTGTGTACAGTAGTTATAAACACTATAAAGGCTTTATTCTAAACATCTTACACTGGTAAAACACAGAAAAAAAGTTACTGCTTACATCATTTTGCAGAGAAATGTGTATAGCATATACTCGTATTTCGAGTGTATTAGACTGTAAAAATGACTGAGCAATTAATTATCTTCGTAAGACAAGGCAACAAAAGACRGACTCTTAACTTAAAATACCTGAATTTATGCTTTATATATGATCCATTTGTTAGCTCACATTTATTTATGCATTACAAAAAACTACTATTGAAGATAAATTGTAAATCACTTGAAGTCTGTTTGGGATTAACTTATGCTGAAGGTAGCATTCACAAGTTCCATTAATAATTTTACTATTAAAAATAACTCAATTATTTTAAAGACATAGCTGGCTTCAGATTCAGCTTCCACTAGATGGATGCCTGCAATTTTTTAATATACTCTGCATTAAACATGAATTATTTCTGTGTATTATCTGCCTCTTTCGGAACAAAATTCCTTCATATAGGGATGCAACAGAAGGCCTACTCACATCGTAAGTTCCACTCTGTTCTTTAAAATATTTGGCAGTTCCTACATTTTTGTCTATCAAATATATAACATTTACTTGAAAACATTGATTTCCTGCCCAATTTATTCCAAGAAATCTTAACTCTCATTCCATTCTTTGGAGGTTTTTCTTCAAATACCAGATCAGAACCTGGCCATTAATTATCTTATTTTTCTATTTTATTTTAAATCCTGGCTGGTTTGTATATCGAGATTCTTTAAGCCCCTTTTGTGCATCTTACCAAAGCTTATCAAAGACTGTGTCTCACTAAAGTGGGCACTGTGAGCCTTTTGCATCGAAAAATTTCAAGCCATGCAGAACTACATGTTTGTGGTGGGGGATTGTACCCATAGAATTATCCTGTGTTAGCCAGTGGCTCACCTGAGGGAGTCTGAGAGGAAATAGCTTTTACTGGGTTGCCTAAGACATAAATGTACTGTTGCTATAAGAAAAATGCAAACATAATTACGAAAATATATCTTTTTGCTTTCTTTTTACTATTGCCTCTAGCCACCTGTTTTGAATGTTTATCTTACTCTTCAAACATCTCTTACTTATCTTCTCATTCTGTGATGATTTTATTGCCATTTTGGTGTACCATTCCCAAGTTAATTGTTTGGTTCTTAAAAAAAAAAAAAAAAAAAAAAAAAAAAAAAAAAAAAAAGGCAACAAAAAACCCCAACAGTACTTCAAGTAGTTCCGTTGAAGACTATTTTGTACTTTTGTTCTCTATCTTCCACTGACATATTTACAGTAAACACAGAGCGCATTCAATCCAAAAAACCACATTTGTCTCTTATTTCATTCTGAAAAGGAAACAGTATCTCAACTCTCACGTCTACAGTTCTGAAGGACGATTTATGTTGTTCCATCAAAACAGTGGAAAAATAATGGGGRTGTGAGGTCAGTTAGGAAAACTGTTCCAACTGATGTTTTATGTGATATTTATGTTAAACACAGGGAAGAATAAGTTGAAGAAGCTGATGAGCTCAGTTACTGTGTTTCACTTAGTTATAATCTGATTTGGAAGAAATGTTGCTTTTCATTACTTTGTAAAGTATTCTGCTGAGACAAATGATTCCATGTTTTATGTTTCAGCTCAAAAAAGATATTCTAGTATTTTTTTTTTTCACTAATTTTACTTGGTGACTTMCAATAAGTTTGTTTTAAATTATTCTTTAGGGAAAAGGGGAATTTGGAACAACAGTGGGAAGTCACAGGGAAATATGAAATAATTTTTTWAATCCYGGCCTGATTCCTCAGGACCAAAATCTAAATTCACACTGAACAGAAAGATGGATCTCATATCACCTTTATTGAATGCATCCATTAGACTTCATACTCCTTTCTCCATCACTTGCATAATTAAAAGTCACTGGTTTAGGTAAAGTCCAGTGCATCATCACATAATTGCACAGAGATACTTTAAACTTCTTCAACATGGAGAGAACATGGACTTAGCATAAACTGGTTCTAATCGGAATTAGAACCAATCCTTWAAAAAAATGGAGGCATTCCCATGGTCTTTGTGATAATACTGTTGGATATATGAGAAAGATGTTACCATTAGGTTGCACCAGCAGTTTTGTTTTCAATAGTTTTCATTATATATATATTTTAAATAGATATATCACTCTTTAAGTAAGCACTTTTAGAAGTTTCTTAAATCCATCCTCCATATTTACCCCCCTATTTCGCCACCATTTTCAATGCGTAAAATGCTACTGCTTAATACTGTTTTGAATTAGCAAACAATTCTCATATTGTTCAGACTGCTGTTTTGGCATTTCTTTTGCATTTCTTGTCTAGATGTGATTTGGTCTGTCAATCTGCTTTGGAAGACATAAGCTAGAATTTCATTCCCTCAATCTGAATATAATTTGTGATGGGGTGTATAAATTCAGATTTCCATTTCAAGTCCTGTATGCAATTTTGATGGAAGACTATTAGTAAACAATTTCCCTTAGACTGAAGAATAAAAAACAATATCATAACTRTAGACTGGAAGGCTATTTCAAGGTATCAAAACCACTTCTATTTGCTGATTGAAGAAAGASCCCACATTGTTGCAGGCTGTACCACAAAATAATTGACTGCAACAGGAGTTCTGCATCCCAAGCCAAAAATGAGGGCACATAATTGACGTCAAGGTCAATTATCTGGTAGTGAAGTACCCAACAAAAGGAGACTATTGTGATTAGAGAAATAAGCAGAACATTGTGAATTTGGAAAGGCTGGCACTGGAGACAGCTTTTAGACTCTTTGTAAATCACCAGAAACATTGTGTTAGAGCACTGAGCATCACAGATTAATTCATAAGGAAAAAAACAAAAAAAAAAAAAAAAAAAAAAAAAAAAAAAAAAAAAAAAAAAAAAAAAAAAAAGAGAGAGAAATCAGTTATGGTGCAGTTGTTTCACTGGACTTTTGTTATCTTTAGCTTGTAAATGTTTCATAGTGCTGCTTCCTCTGCTGCACACTAAAGGAAATACCACTACAAAAACACACAATGTTCTTAAAACTGTGCCACGGTCTTTTTGAGCCSTATATTTTGGGTTATAAATCTACCCAGTCTATCTACCCCAGTTTTCTTGAAACACTCTTTCTAAAACTTATTTTTTAAAAAATATGGTTTTCCAAACTTCTATATGTAACAAAATTCCTAGTAGCTTCGTGCTATATCATTCATTACTGTGTGTTCCTCATGCAACTGCTATTACTCCTCTCACTTTCCCCTCCTCTCCTGACTCCTTATTCTACACAGGAATAATCTTTTGTGTTTTTTTTCTTTGTTCTTTTCTTAATTTAGGAAATGATGCTGGAGCCATTATTAACCCAGAATGGATTAGCTTATTAAAAACTCACAAAAGAAATGATTCAAACCTTTCAGGATAATGGGAAACAACTTCTTTTGACTTTAAAGACCCCCACAATCAGTCTCACAATCAGCATTCAGTGGCAAGCTGATAGCTCCATATTGCATCTTCTGTTTTTAATAAGGTCTTACTGGTTCAAATCCCTTCCTTCTAAATGGCGTTAGTCAGTGACTTAAACAGATCAGCCTATTTGGTTGCAAACATTGTGCTCTGTCTTGGAAAACAATTAGAGCAATTGTACTCACCCTACRGTAAAAAACTGCCTCATCTCCTGTCTTCGAGACCTCATCAGTTGCTTGTATTCACCAATGCGCAGCTTCTTGCCGTCCACGATGCAGGTGCGTTTTGGTCGAGGTTTGTATTTGTAATTGGGGTACTTTTCTAGGTGGATTTTACTTAGTCGTGCCTGCTCTTCGTAATAAGGTTGCTTCTCTTGGTTTGACATGGATTTCCAGCGAGATCCTACGGACACAAAATGTTAGCGAGTGCTCAGGGAAAGCAGGTTTAACTTTGCACATATGCAATTCAACGTGCCTTCTCACCGTAATAATTTTTAATTAAGTTAGTTAAATAAACTGATTTAAATTTACATTGGTCTACACATATATTGGCTTGCACAACCTGAGTCACATTAAAAGAACTCTTACTTTCAGATATTGCTGCAGACCAAGCATATGTAAATCTCTATTGAAAAGGTGCGYTTAAAATCAGCAGTTAAGTCTCAAAATCTCAGCCTCGTGCTGCAAAACAGACTGCTTAATTTTTTACAATAAGAGCATTAATCTGTGAGTACTTCCATACCTCTGTAATAGCACTCATGATCTGATGGTTAAGGAAAGTATGCAGCCATACTTCTACTGTTAAAAGCCTAACACATTGCCTAGGGACACAGGCTTCTTTGATATTTTTATGAGAATTTGGTTTATACACTCCCGCTAATAGACATTAATAACTTGCTATGTAGCAGGGAAAAAGTATCAAACCTTATAGATTCAGCAAAATTATGAACAATCCCTTGCTGTCTGGGTGTCTTAAATTTACTGGGCTTCTGATATAAGCTTGGCATAATATTGACACCTGTTTTAATTCTTATTATGCACATTATTTTCTGGCCAGATGTAATAAACACACAGAATTGAATCGAGAAATGGTTCACAAATCCACATTGAAAAGATAAAAAGTAAAACAGAAAGCACATTGTAACTATATACACCACTTCAGGTACTGTAAACTTCCATTGAAAGCTGCACCAATAAAAAAGTTTWAAAAATTAACATAGCGTACACAGGAAGAGGCAAAAGTATTCAGATCTCTTGTATTGTTTGTAAGGAGCTATCTAAACACTTGAATAGAGACGGGAATAAGAAATGCAGAAAATAGCTTTTTYGTGTCTTTTAGATGAATAAAACTATTACAGCTGTGGTAAACRTGGGTGGAAGCTATTCTTTTACCAACATTTTTCATACATCAACAAATGGAAAAGTTGTATAAATATTATCCACAGCCAGCAATACTCTGTGTCAGTTCTAATATTTCAGTCTCTTTTCTTATTGTCCTAGAAAAGTTGCAAGATATTATATGGGTACAGACTTATTTGTGGCAGAGCAGATACTGACAGGTTAATTCCATGGTTAACAAACACTCAATTGCTGGCACTTCTGAAATATTTATGCTGGAAGTTTACGTTTTAATGAATACAGTTACTATGCTCCTAATAGTTTTTTTCACAGAATGCACACAAATAATATAGATTCCCTACAGCTGCCAACACTGAAACAGTGAAGGTTTTATRCAAAACTGAAAGGCTATTCATATAACTTACTTATATGGTAGACAAAAATATGAGAACTACTAAGAAAGATTTCTGGAAGTTTTAGGACAAAGTAACATTTATTTCTGTGTATTCTTGCCTCTGATTGAACTAACACGCAACAAACTTTGCTAAGAATGTATTTGAACTCARAGTTTACAATAAAATCATTACAGAGGAAACGTGATTTTTACTTTTATTTATTATGAGCTACATTTGCAATCTGTCTTTCACTTCAAAGACTTAGAAAGCAAATATAGGTTTTAGCATTTCACCACTCATTCTCACGTATGTTTCTAATTCTCCTGAGGGGTCTTAAAAAGCAAATCAAAATTTCTCAAAAATGAGTCCATTTATTTGTGCAGTGGCAAAATATAATCTGTGGAATACTCCCCCATTGTCCCAATCTATATAAATTAAATATTAACTATGGTGTTTTTTACCTAAACAATATCTGAATTGCATGCTTCTAGTGTTTAGTTTTTTGAGCATTACAACATTTTGAAACAAACATAATTTTTGACGTGAGGTTTGCATGCACAGGTCTTTTGAACTGTGTCATGTTTCTTTCTTTGACTTTGCACTGTGACATAAACCTTTGATTTTGATTTTATACTTTTTTTTTTTATCCCAGTGTTTAGTCTAGCAAGTACCATTTTGCATTCAGATGATTTGTAGCTCAGGTGTGTTCTAATGGGATCTACACAGRTCCCGTTAGACCTTTTGTTAGGTTAAACTCTTGCAACAGATTTCACAAAACATTCCTTTTCAATGTTGCTAAATTTTAAAGCACTTAATGACTGCTGTTAAGAATAAAAAGTTTTAGGGAAGGGGCAGAAAGGGAAAAGTAAGGGAATGAAAATTAAAACAACCTATGAATCTTCATTTGTATTAGTTTCAGTAATTACAATTTTGGTGAACATCCCCAAAAAAAAGAAAAAAAAATCCTAAAATTAGAGAAGYTCATGGAATTGTAGAACATTTTGGGTTGGAAGGGATTTAAAGATCATCTCRTTCCAACCCCCTGCTATGGGAGGGACACCTTTCACTATCCCAGGCTGCTCGGAGCCCCATCCAACCTGGCCTTGAACAYTGCCAGGGATGGGGCATCCACAACTCTCCTAGGCAACCTGTGCCAGTGCTTCACCACCCTCACAGTGAAGAATTTCTTCCCAATATCTAACCTAAACCTGCCAGCACACCTTGTTGCCTTGCACTTACCTAGGATTTTGCTGATGTTGGAGTTGTGCATGTCGGGGAAGGCCTGGAGGATTTTCCGGCGCTCATCCTTGGCCCAGACCATGAAGGCGTTCATCGGCCGCTTGATGTGGGGCTCGCTGCTGGCACGGCCCCGCGAGTCCCGGTAGACCCGGGCTTCAGCCACCGTGGCCCCTCCTGTTGGCCAACAATAATACTGCTGTAGTTTAGCGGCAGAGCCATTCACTGCTTTACTCCCTGTAACGTCAGGGCAGGAAGAAACAAGATGGATGCAAAACATTATTATGAGGATTAGGAAAAGTGATTCAATGCTGTGCTTATTTTAGCCTCTTTTGCTCTCTTTCTCCCTCTGCTGCCAGATCTAAAACAGAGAGAGATGGGCTGACCAGGGTTGCTCATCTGGGATGACCCAACATCMAAGTGAAGAATCAAATTGAGCTGGTATTTCTCCAACTAAAGACATGGAGATTTGATAAAGTTTCCATTTGGGACTTCAACATAAAATACATGCTCTGAAYGCTCAACAAAACTCACATAAACGTTACACTTGAGAATCCAAACTGATGTAGGCCTGTTGACACGTCATTGACAATGGCTTTGCTGTTTGAGCAGCCAAGCACATGCAAAGAGTTTCATAAAATAAATTGTACAATGGCACCATACATGCTGCCATTTGTATGGGTCCAATTCCCTTTGAAGCTGAACATTTCAAAGTTGCACCTGCTTGGCTTGAATTTTAGATGTGCTTTGGAACATTTGACTACATATATGTAATAAAAATGTCTACCTCCAACAGGTACACACACAACATCCTGGGGCCTCCAGAGTGGGAGATAAGCACTCCAGCTCTGTGCCTGCCATGCTTTAGGGCACCCCAGTGTCCTGTCTCTGTCACCAATTCAGCTTGTACCTGCTGAATGGGCTTTTGAATGCATCCAGCCCTGTTTCTTGACAACAAACAGCAAAGCCTCATAGGGGTAACAGAGYTCACAGAGCTGAGTGTAACACGAGTTAATATGGGAGAAACAGACATCCAGGGCATGCCTTTACTGGAAAAAAAAACTTCTGCAGTTGTGATGATAACAACTTTTTAGAGTTATATCTTGACTATAAAGAAAGCAAGAAGTATTTACAGTGGGAGACTAACATGTTTAGTCTTAGACCTCCTCAAACTGATCATGTAATTTAATACCTTCAAAAAGCAAGACACTTAACAACTTAGCACAGCAATAAGCCTCCTTTTTTTTTTTTCTAAACTATTACAGCTCCCAACACAAATTTACTTGCCAAATAATATAGAATTAATTCTTTGCACTAAGTAAAACACTGCGGTTTTACTGAGCACAGGCACAAATTTTTAGTCATTGCAAAAATCAATTTTCCTAATTCAGAGTGAAAGCATTATATAGCTATGCCATTTAAAAAAATTCCATACATGAAACACATTTACATGAAAAAAGGTCCTAAAATAGAGGATGCATAACTAATACACTACCTTTTTTGCCACCAGGTCCCACAGTACATTAATTTCATTTAAAACGCACTGACCATATAGGATAAATTGATTTTGCTTTATATGGTGTTGACAGCCATGTTTATTGTGCAGTGAAATGCAGTGTAGTTTCGGGCTGACTATATCCATCAACACGGGGCAATATGCTGACTACTGGGCCAGATGAAGACATACATTACCCTGAGAGCGAAACACTCATTCGTGTACAGCGGTGTCTTCTCCTGAGGATCACCRCGCTGATTTACGACACCTCCAGTGCCATTACTTTGGAGCTGACACCGATTTGGCAATTTGTATACTAACATGTGCGCACATAAAGGAGACAGCTTTGTGGCAAATGCGAGCTGCAGAACTGTTTTAACACCATTCTGAGTTAAGCACCGTGCTACAGGTGTTCCGCATTCCCAGGATGCTTTAGTCAGCTTTTTAGCGTAAAACAGGAGAGAAGTTTGGAATAGCGACCTGCAAGTTGGACCAGTTTAGGGGGGGGAGTGGTTGATGAGGCTCTGTCCATTGTTGCCAAAAGCTTGGACCACAGGCATATCAAAGCTAACATATTTTGAGAGAGGATGTATTTATCGTGAAACTGCAAGGCATTGCAAACATAGCAAGTCAACACTGAGATATTTACTGAGAGAAAGAGCTGTATAATTCGAGAAAAATCAAACATAGCATGTAACAGTTCTATTTTTTTAAATATTATAAAAAACGTGTTCCCAGCATGAGGGCAATTAAGTATCTGGTGACAAAAAAACCCAATAAATTATTATTTGTGCAAAAGTTATCATTTGTTTTTCAGTTACTCTATTCAGAGCAAAAGAAAGACATATTTGAATCCACAGGCTGTCTTTCCATTGTTTATTTTCCCAAATGTACTTATTCACTATGGATAAGGAGGGRTTTGTCTTTAACCCTTTCTAACAAAATTTTGGGTTGAATTTCCTAATTTTGTGCTTCAATCCTAACGAAGTTAAGGATTAGTTTTACTGTGAGCAAGATTATAAGGTGACTTTTTAATCTAGATGTAATTTAGACAGAATAAAAACAAACAAACAAAGAAAAAAAAGGGAAAAAAAACAAGGAAGAAAACCACCCAAAATAATGTGTTTTCAGAGAAAGGTTATATTAGAAAACAATTGGTACTTGGGGTAATAAATTACAACCATCCCAAGAAGGTCAACTCTGGCTCCATCCTCTTTATGCAAGTCCATACTTGAAGGACTTGAAAAGGCAGCCAAAGAGTTGATGTTCTTTGAGCTTGATCTCTGGGGAAATATTTGCAAGTTGACCTATAGGCCATCACAAAAGCATTTGCAAAGTGAATTTCTGCAAATAACTAAAGTAATATAATCTCCACGCTCTTCTGTCTCAGAACCACAGAATTATATTCAGCATATAAAGCATTACAATAAAACAGTTCTTGCAGCATGGRATTCTATGGAGGGAGCCAGAAGGTCTCAGTACCTTTTTAGATTAGAAATTAGGTGCTAATGATACAAATACACATATGCACAGTGGGGTCTTACAAGTTGAAACACATAAGAACAAGCTTTCAAATTGGTTGTTCTTAGGTAATTCATTCTGTCAAGCAGATATTTTGACGTTATTGTGCCCTATATAAACAATTTCAAAGAAAATATGGCGTTTTYCCCTATTGTGATAATAGTTAGTACTGATGGAGGCCGAAAGAGACACCTGAAATTTTTAAAGAAAATATATATGCAAGTGAAAAGAAGTAGGTTTTTTATGTCTTYCTGAAAATATTTTCAGGAAATTCCAATAAATAATAAACCTAAAACACCAGATAAAATGGAAATATACTACCAGTGAAGGGCAAGACAAAAGGAGGAAGCTGGTAATTGTCTCCCTGTGGCAACTGATGCTCTATCTGCCAGTTACTGTTCATTCTGCAATCACAGGAGTGATTTTCAAAATTAAGAGCTTGGTGAGAATTTACAATTATTGCAAAAGCAGTGCAGTTTGGCTGCCCTAGTGGCTTAGTTGGCAAACAAGTCTATATTTTGGCCTAAAGAGAGGCTGTCCTCAAAGTGACACTTTTAGCTTCTGGATGTGTTCACTGCCTTGCTTCCTAGATCCTTTGAAAGTGCTCCACTTGTCATAACTTTGATGATTTAAAACTAAAAGCAGCTTAAAGAAGAATGATCCTTTTTTGTGGATATATGTCAGGCAAACCCTCTGTGAAAGCTGGATTCCATAGTACTCTGAGGCAAAGAACACCACAGAATAAACCTAAAAATGCTACAGCTTCAGGAAAACAATTTCAAACAATATTTTCTTTTCTAACRAGCTCTCTAAGCAGAAAATATTAGAAAGATAAAAGTATCTGATCACCAGCAGGAAAGATAAACATCTTCATGTGAAATWAATGTTAAGAAACATAAAATAGCAATTCAATTTTTGTTTGTTTATTTATTTATTCCTGCCTTTATCTGAGTTTCTTAAATTTACTGATGAAAAGAATTTTAAGACAGACATCATCTGTCTGATTTTCTTGAAAAAAAAGCACATTACCTGAAATCTTAGCCACATTAGTGTTATTCCTACTGTCTTTACTGAGGTATGGGTTACCTTCCATTTTACACTTCATCTACTGAGATTGGGCCTTTATATGTTACCAGAACACCAAAAATAATAGATGTGACAAAAAGCAGCAAAAAAGGCTGAGAAAAAGATGAGGAAAAGAGAGAAAAGGAGTGACAGGAAAAACAAAGAGATTTTTATCAGCCAGCCTGCCATTCCTTAATTACTCTTCACACTATGGCCATTGATCCATGTTTGAAGTGATACATTTCCCCTGATATCCCTCAGATAATGAATCTGGTTAATCTAGAGAATGTACTGCAGATCAACTTCCATGGACACASACTGAGATAGGACACACAGAAATAAAGACAATCTTTCCAGGTTCCTGGTATGAAAATGACTGGGCAGGAGAAAAGCTCCTATCCTCAGTTATTCATTAAGCTGAGGCGACATATTTGCTTAGTTTGGAGAAGATTGTGACCTCCAAAATATCTGGCCCTGTCTGTGGTAATACAGCTAGCACTGCAGAGACCAGAACCCATTAAACATATGAACAGGAGTCACTCTTTTACTGCAAGAGATAAGTTACTCATAAACATGGACATGCCCTAAAAAAAAGGGAGCATGAAAAACCGGCTGGGCGGTCCCCTGTGCTGCTCCTAACCTGTGCACAGACAAAGGCAGCCTCTGTGAAAAATATAGCAGTATTTAAAATCAAATAGAAAAGGACAAATGTGGAAAGAACAGAAAGAAAAGAGGAACTTTGCTTAAAACACAAGAGTAGCCATTTAATATTTTGGGTTATCAATTTTAGAGGAAGCCCCAAAAATTACTGCTACTACTTCACTGCAATCTAAGTGACATGTAGCACATACAGAGTAACATTTATCTCTTCTGCCCCTTGCCTGCCTCTTACTTCTTCATCTTCAACAACATTCAGATTTTCTTATTCTTTATTATCAGCAAGAGAGGTGACATAAATGGGTACCCCACAAACTGTTGTCTTTTCTGGCATGTCTTGTCATCACTAGCAAAATACCCACTTGGAAACATGGCTAGGAATTTGGAGCAGGGGTGACACAAATGTTCTGTTTTTCAAGCTGCTTTTATTCCAAATGCTAAACAAATATTATTCAGCTGCAATTTGAGCATTGAACATTTCTCACAGCCCGCGTGTCAG